GACAAGGTTCCTCATGAAAGGCTCCTCTATAAACTACGATTAATCGGTGTTTCTGGGAACGTTATCTCTTGGATCACTGATTTTTTGCATGATCGAACAATGAGGGTCGACGTGAACGAGACTTACTCCGCTCCTGTGCTCATGACTAGCGGTGTCCCTCAGAGATCAGCCCTGGGCCCAGAACTTTTCAAGATCTTCATCAATGATCTTTCGGTGGAACTTGAGTTGGATTGTCTGATTTACGCTGACGACTTGAAGTCATGGATGGAGGTGTCCTGTCTTGACGATGTGGACCGGTTACTGGCTACACTTGATACGTTACATGCGGGATCAGTCAATTGGGAATTGCCCATAAATCGCGATAAGTGCTCGGTCCTCCCCATTGGTGCTCCTGAGCCTTTCGGCACGTACCACATTGGTTGGGCGTTGCTCAGAAACTCAATCCTTGAAAAAGACCTAGACGTGTTGGTGTCATTTGATATACGGACTACACAGGACACGTAACGAAGGGTTGCTGCTGCCAACAGGATGTCCCATGCCATACGAAGAGCCTTCTCGCGCTTGACTCCGGAGATCTTCCGACTATTGTTTACTTCCCATATGCGCCCCATTCTCAAATACGAATTACCTGCCGTCTTACCTCTCACCAAGTTCGAATGTCGCCTCATTGAGAAAGTCCAGCGGCGGGGATCGAAAAACTTCTTGGAGGTACGGGACTTGCCTTATCCTCTGAGGCTTCAGTGCATGAATCTGTTCTTCCTGGATTATCGCCGACGTCGCGGCGACCTGATTTTCATTAGGCGCAAGCTGAGAGGAGAGATGCGGACGGAGCTGCAGGCATGCTTTAAATTCAATGCAAATAGTTCAAGTCGAGGCCATAACTGGAAACTGTTTAAACCCAGAAGGCTCCGGGTCCATCCTGCTCTCACTCTATCAACTCGCGTAGTCAACGATTGGAACGACTTACCGAAGCATGTGGTTGATGCCCAGACAGAGGAATGTTTCAAGCGGATGTTAGATTCTAATCTTTTGAATACAATGGGCACTTGCAGCTTCCACCGTAGCTGTCACGTTTCCTTGTGGATTACCGCTTAACATCGAATCGCGGCCCCCACACAATGATCGGGAAGCGATGGAGCTGACAATGGATTTCTCCTTCTGCTCTCTACAATCCTATGAACCTATGAACCTATGAGATTAGCTCAAGAGATGCTTGGTTCTCTGGGTTACACATCATTACTGCAGGCTTGTGGCAGTGAAATACGCATAGACAATACTACCGGCGTTTTCAAGTGAACCACTTCAGGATTCGCAACAAATATCTGCCACCTTGAGTCGAAGACGGCAGCTGGTTGTGATGCTAACTGGGCTCACTTTAGCGACTGAAGCAAACCTATGTAGGCTGGGTGCCTTTAGCTTTCCGGCGGTTACATTTATGCTAATGTTGCATCGTTAAGTAAACAGCAACCGTTAACTCAAGCGATGTGGGCATCATCGCAAGCGCTCATTCATTAATCACTGCGAACTGACATTTAGCTATCAACCGCAGCCAACTGAAGGTAAGGGCAGGGCATCGGATGTATTGTGGCTCTGGAGATCATAGTAGCTTAAGCTGTACATAACTTCCTTGTCCGCAGACCCAATGCCTGTGCACCGGTTACGAAACACCAGGTTCGCCATGGCATTTGGTACATTGTACTCTCAATGTGTGGGCAGAAGCATCTCTCAGCACAATCGAGTGGAACCAAGACACATAGTCAGTGTAGTCACCTCATCGATCGAAAGGATTGTATACATCAGTTAACACGTTACTTGAAGTGTGCAGGCAGTCAGACGTCTTCACACTGTAATGCACCGCTTGTTCTATACCCACTAATTTCGCGTTCTTGCCAGTGCCACACATAAAAGCACTAAGCGGCCGTTTCAAACCTTTGGAACTCGGCAATAGTGCGTACCCATAGGATTCTTCGGGATTTGAACCCATGACCACCAGGTTGAACCGCCGGCTAGCTGCTTATGCCACTAAGCCACTGTGTAAAGTAGCAGACCGTCACGGTTTACCAACTAATTGTGATATAGTGCGTCTTATCTTCCACTGCTATGCAACTTACCAACGTTGTGGAGGGCAACATCAGCCTCATAAGGTACAACTTCCACTGATATTCTCTATGTTTGACATGACATTTTGAAACTTATACGGCGAGCATTTTGTTGTACTCTTGAAGTTTACTCGTCAGTTGAAAGTTCTTTGCAGCAAACTTCAACTCAGATAGTCTTCCACATGACCGCAGAATCCATCGACGGCTTTTTTACCTGTTGTGTCCCGTCAGTATTGCAGCTATCTCGGGATCCGAACGCTTGACCACCGGCAGCATGAATCGCCAAAATGCAGCTCACGCCACTGAGCGTTAGAAGGAAGCGGTGGACGGTCATATCGTTAATTGTTCATTTGTTCTCCGAGCTTGGCGGTTTTCTCGCAAACGTTTCACCACCATGCGAGGTGGCATCCTCAGTGCAGTGATATGTAGCGTATAAGTTCATGATCGTTCATGATCATGATCTATATTATGATTAAACACTTGGACAATATACAATTGACAGTTCCGCAACATATGGTTAACGACAACAAAGAGGTAAAACAAGGAGTCAGTGAAAGGATTAAGAGGGTTCAACAGCTTAATGTGTTGTGTGGGCAGATGTCCGGGAGAAAGTAAGAATTGCCTGGAAAATCCACTATTTTAGCCATTAATCGATTATGAATGATTATCGTATCGATTTCAAACGTTCTAGAATGTACTAAGTTCTCCACATGACTACCAGCCACCAGACATCTTGGCTAAAGCTATGGGGAACCACTAACCTTGAAAGTCGACCTTCCAATTCCAGAAGTCGAAGGTCAGTGAGAGACCTATAAATACAGCCAAGGTCCGCGGTACTTGTACAGTGTTTTGCTGACGGCGATTAATACGTTATTTTGGTAAGGTCATTGGTGTTCTGCTCTTTCCTTCTGTCGGGTTAGAATTTTTTGTGGAGCAGTTAAGTGCCAATTTCGGAATCGGGTCTAGTGAGAAGATTATAACAGCAAGGATCTTCCCGGTTACCAAGGCCGAGAAAGAGAGTTGAAAAAGGGACCCCATCCCGAGCCTTTTGTCACAAGGACCTTACTCGCAAATCAGCGTTGTGATTCATGCAAGCGATTGACAGCCGGTCGCTTATCCGCTTTCTTAGTGTTCGGTAGCAGTCCACCGAGAAGCCGGTGGCCAAAACTATTGTTCATCCACCCTCCGTTAAGTATCAGCTCCTGGTTGCAAAAGTGATCTACAGGTTAACTGCAATATAGCGCATCTTACCTTTATGTTTCATGGAAGTATAAGTGCTCAGATCTTTGATTTGGACACGACTTGATGTGAATTCACGCGTGTGTGGTCAAAAACGTTTTTGCCACTTGCCTCCAGCAATGACAATGCTGCGGATTCCTTACATGTCTCCCAACGTTCCAGTGCAAACCACCGTTGTCGGTCGAGAGGAATAGCGCTCGAGTAACTCATAGAATAATTCCGAGATTTCGTACTTCAACATATTTCCTCAGTACTCTGCGGATGTATGCAACCTTAACTCGGATTCGAGATCAGAGTCTATCGCTTTTGGCACGGAATGACCTAGTTAACTTAGAAATCTCATTGCACCGCAGAACACTTTGTCATCTCACACTCAGTAACGTGGGGTAGTGTTAAGCTGCTGTGAACCTCGCAGCAACAGCTAGTGTGTTGTCTCTACCAATACTGCCACCAATCACTAAAGTTCACTTGGCATATAATTGTGAAGTTAGCATCTAAATGTAAATGGGTATGACAACTTCTTGGATTGCCATCGGGAGTGCTTTCCCTCTGAGACAGCCTGCCGTGGAACTCCCAAGCTTCAGTTGTTGCAACTTACACTAGACTTTTTTTCAAAAAGGGACCAGATATCAAAATTAGCCTTTCGCATTTCGCCACATAACCTGGGTTATCTGAAATAGCGAACGTTGAATTAGTACTGGCGTGTGATGTTTCCAACTAGACGGATGCAGGGAATAGTTTACAAGCGGCTCAGCCACATTACTTTCCACATAAGAAAGATCCATTGGAGCACCCAGAAGAAAAGCACTTTATGCTGTTGCGTAAACCACGAGAGACTTCCCAACCATTGGACTCCCCGCTGGTACCTAAACGTCGATTATTTGGTCCTAACACTTTGTTCGCCATTAACCATGGAATCGGAGAAAAGTGAATCAGATCAAGTCTGATAGTTAAAATATACAACCGAATCAGCCCAGCATCGCGTACTAATTCCGTGTTGCTCCGTGATTGTAAGCCGTTATACACGGTGTGTCCAAGCACGCGCAGCAAGAAAGATTCAAAGGCGCAGGTCACAGATCAAGCGAACAAACCAATATGCAACCAATCCCACAGATCGATGATACAGCTTCGATGAACATGGAAGAGAATCCAGGAACCAACATTTCAGAAAGCACCATTTACCAATTGCTATCTGTTCAGCTTTACACTGGGGGTTCTTGGGCCTCAGTTGTTAACCAACGCCCATAAGAGTTTAAGTCTAAGCATATTATTGCTACCATACTCCCATAGAACCGGGATGGTCTACTGGAGACAGTGCTAAACTTTAGAGTTGCAATTTTGTAAGGTCAGCCCAAACATGACTGTTCTTTTACCTGTGTAGGCTGACAGGTTTGTTCTCTGTAGGATTTAAGCGGAAAAACTCGCGAGTTAAGTTCTACCTTTATTCAGAAGTCGATCTATTTCTGAACTAGTCGAATATTTGCCCTGGAAAGTGAATCGTTGAATAATCTTTTGGCATATCTTCCATATTTGGGTTGCTCTCACATACGAACAGTTTCGTTACACAACGAACGAAAATTTAACATACTGAATCGTTCCAATTCGGTATGATGGTATATTTACTGGTCCCATTGGATACACACTTTTCCATTTGCTACGCAGTCGGAGTTTTGATCCTCGCCGCGTGTGGCACATTTGTTCATATGGCACTCGGAACTGAGCTGACAGATCGGCAACCGATCCAGTCGGATTACGGAACCATGTTTGGGACCAACGTGATAATCAGCTGGCACCAATTTGGAATCGGTCTCATTCTGTGCTCCCTTACACGGTCCACAAGAAGTGTGATGTTTCCGCTGCTGGCTCTATTCGCGTCACTGGTGTTGGGACAATTGGTGATGACAAACCGCGTGTTGGAAGACGTGTAAGTGGCATACTTAACTGGTTGTGGTTCAGTGGTAATGAACTCGATGAACTCAATGTGTAACAACTTATCTTGAACTGTAACCAAACTCACTAGACCGGAGGATTCGCTGGTCGATAAGAGTAATGGGTTGTGGTAGGCAAAGACTGTGCCTAGGTCTCACTTCTGGTGCTGTGCCTGTGTCTGTAAAGACAAGGGTAAAGGTGGAACATAAAACATTTGTTCCATGGGCCGCTAAGTGATTAATTAGCGCAACTTACCATTGTTACCAGTTTGCACGCAGTGCGCTAATTAAAAGGACATTTATGTGATGTTGGACCACCGAAAATAGTTGACCAGTTTGGTTGCGTATGTAAGATAACAAATTTGATTCCATAGAACAAGGGAAGGTACCGCCTTCATTCAGAGATTCATTTGCTCCAAACTCGGAGACTTGTGTACACCTTACGCTGAGGTTAAGGTGCGTACCAGGATTTGGTTTGTTCACTGATTTATCGACCGTGGCAGTCCACAGAAGTGACGTCCACTGCGGCGGCAGACGTAATATACGAGGCGTGTGAGAATAGTTTCAAGACTGGTTTCACACCATGAGTTTTCCCTTTCAAAGTAATTCCCGTGGCATCTAATGCATTTACCATCCTTCTCATCATGCCCGAAAGCACTCATAAAACGATTCTTCCTATCTCCTACTCGTATCCATTGTCACGGCCTTTTTGCTGCCATCAAAGTCTTTAAAACGGGTCCACTTGAGGACCCCCTTATCTTTAAGAGCAGAAAAAAGCACTTTGAACCAGATCGGCCTGTAGCCTAGTGGTAATGAGCTCGTCCTAATCTTGCGACGCGTGTTCGAATCCGCGTAAGGGTAGGCGTCCACGCGGTATACAGCCCGCATGCGACTGGTGGAGTTCGCACGCAACGAAACGCCGTTACGGCTTACGGTTGATACATTACTATTAGGATCATTATTTCAAGTGACTAGGGATGACGGTCCAGCACGACGGTGTTCCTTTAGGTTCGGAGACCAAGCGCCAGAGCCTAAACGAGAAGATTCAGACATCGCTAACGACAATGAACGTGGAAGTCAAAAGTCGTCTTAATCATATTCTGCGAGATTAGGTGGCTCGCACACTGCGGATTCATGCCACATGGATAGATGATCATCCAACATGTCTACAAAGGGATACTGCGATGTTTGGTTCGATCAGTGAGTGAGAGGAGGACAGCGTTGTGAGAGGCCAAATGGTGGGTGTTTCACCTTACATGGCACTTGATCACAATGCCATGAGTATCCTACATTTCTTGGCCGGTCAGAACATCGTCTACTCAGCCGACCTGGTTCCAAGTACGTTTTTCTCTCGCCCAAGATCAACAGGGAAGATGTGGGCGACCTCGAAAAGGCCGTGACGACGGAGCTGTGGAAGATCCAGGAAAAATCCGTCCAGTAATGCATGCAGGTGTAATTGTGACGAATGAGGATGTATTGGACTCCAACGGTTACTAAAATCTCAATAAATGGACAAGGAACAAGGACTTATCACGGGATAAAAGCAAGTGCATGACACTTCCCGTAGGATGGTTGGGGTGAGTACTATAAAGTCGAAATATATGTGCGTCGGCTACCGAGCCTCTACCGAGGTAAATGCGTTGATAAATAACGTTAGTGCAAAATAAAAATATAGTATAAGCATACGAAAATACACGGGGTGCAGTGAACCTTAAGGTAAAATGTGAGAAAAGTAAAATATGGTCGCTCACTTAGGCGTCGCCTTCTTGGGTCCATGGGACACCTAAATCCAGTAGAAGGGCATGATTAACGTGATCCACCACAGCGTAGTTTAGACGACGAAGTGTTGGGAGCAACATCTAATCGTTTCTGAAGATGTCCAAACTAGGGGAGGATACAACTGAGACTGGGATTGCGTTCCAGGGTTGGCAATCCCGAAGGGAAAAGTAATTCCGTCTACTTTCCAGTCGACTATATTGTTTCTGCAATTGTAAGCAGTTACCCCATAGCTGCTTGTTGTAGCTAAGTTGCAACAAATGGCGGCATACGTGGCTGAGGATACACCATATTCGGTACACTAATATGATCTCCACGCAGCCTTCGGTAGCGTCCACCTAAAACTCCCGGCAACTTTAGCCTTCGGTGGTAAGAATGATGCCGCAGGTCATTTACACTCTTTGTTGCTCTTCGTTATGGTGCCTCTAACGCCTGTAGGTCACGCTTCAACCAAGGTTGCCAAGCTTGGATAGCGTATTCAATGTGAGGGTGCACGTAGGAATTGTGGTGTATTGAGAAGATTGATGCGACGAATATCCCGAATGCTCTTCGCCGCAGGCCGATCTGCTTGTGGATGCTTTGAACAATTAAGGTTGCTTTTAATGAGCACATCAAGTTCACCTTCCTGCGAACCGGTCTGCCATCCATTTGCCTGAAGCAAATACGCGTAGTCGTGTCTCTGGAGTAGTTGCACGACGCAACGATTGTCCACGTTAAATGGTAGGGCGTTCTGAACTGACCAGTTCGAAATCGTGTTAAAATCGCACTGGAGCCGTTCGTAGTCGTCCGGTACTCTGATCGTTCTATCTTGCTATCCCGCAAAAAATAGGATATCACAAGCAATTTATCTCGCTAAATCGTTCATAAACACCAAGAATAGACTACACTCAAGCACCAAACCTAATGGCACACCGCACTCCACATCAGTTGCACCGGACAGATTCTCGGACTCTCACTTCCAACCCACGTTCGTATAGAAAATTGCTTATCCAGCTCAAGATTGGGTCGCCAATGCGTAGTTCCGAGGATTGTGAAGGAGAAATCGATGGGCTGAGCGATCAAACGCTTCTGAGAATTCCAGACAAATAACATTAACTTCTGCTCCATCATCAACTGTTTCAGTCCAGCTACTGTGTGAAATAGCAGATTGGTGGTATATGAAAGCTTTTGATGAAAGCCATGAGGCTCTGGGGATATTAACTTGTGGCCTTCCAGATACTGCATCAGCAAATCTGCGGTGATTGATTTCATCACTTTGGATAGTACATGAAGTATGGTTACTGCACGGTAATTGGTAGGACCAGTGCGGCTACCTCGCTTTCATACCGGTGGAACAGGCTTCTCCTCTTGACATCGCTGATAGAAAACGGCCAGTGGTTCTGCTGGATCCCTAGCTAGTGCTTGCAGAGCGTTCCATCGAATGCTGTCAACTCCAGGAGCACTGTGGATACGCAGGGAAAACAACTTCAACACAGCTACAGCCGTGAAGTTGATGTTTTCTAAACCCGACGGTGGAGTAATAGAAATGAGGAGAATAATCGGGCGCGTTACCTACTGGAAAGTTTGGGAGTAATGAATCCGTAGGAGGTCGACTGCTTCCATTGCTGACCGCGTGCATTCATCAGCAGTGACCAGTTCTGCTATTCCGCGCTTCACTTTACGAAGGCCATGGAGGTGTTTGGACAGAAGTTTGCAGTTCGTGCAGTATCGTTTCATTAGCTACTGCTAATGCGTAATCTCGTTCTCGCAGATCAGTTTCAAACAGAATTTACGATGTACGATGCATGCAGTCTACGTGTCGGTAATCGAACATTCGGTGTGAGCTCGCTTTGCCAAAACGCTCATGGACATAGATATGCGTGTTCCGCTCCTTATATATATATATATATATATATATATATATATATATATATATATATATATATTCACAAGCTGATTACAGATAATGTGACATCCGAACCATGGCGAAATAAAGGAGGGGAGAATGAAATACAACATAACGAAAACTACATTTTTCGGCTTTATTCAGGCCGCTTTGGGATTTTTGGTGTTTTGGAGTTTTAGGTTACATGAGACCATAACTAATAGATAACATGCTTGAACAGCACGGCCTCTACTGATGCCGGTCGCGCGTCATAGCCTCCAACGTTTCTAACCAATGGCAGTCCGAATCGCGCTGTTTCCATCCTGGAAGGCGGACCCATCCGACGGATGCTAAGCTTGCCTTTGCGTTCCTTATGCTGCTTCTCCACGTCATTGGTTGTCCACCGTGACACTTTTTCCGGTACTTTCCGCGAAGGGCAACTAAGGCTCGGCGGATAAGGCGATAAGCCGACATTCTCAATACGGGGCCAAGCCAACGCATGCGAGGTTGGAAAATAAGGTTCTGAAGACTGACACTATTCGCTCCGAGCACGCGGTCTCGGATCTCTGCGTTGCTGACGTGGTGTTACCACCACACCCGAACAATTCTTCGTAGACAGCAATTGTCGAAAATTGACAACCGCTTCATGTCTACCGAGCGTACAGGTCAAATCTCACAACTGTACAGGGGTACTGCATAGACGAAAGCACAGTACACCTTGCCCTTGAGCTTGAGACTGATATCACGACGACACTATAGGTGTCTCAGTTTGATGAATTTAAGGCGGGCCTTTTCAATCCGTTGTGAGACTGCATCTCAAACACCGCCACCAGCTAAGATGCAACTCTCTATGAGCAAGGGACTTGCTCCAGCACATGTCCAGCAACGGTGAGCGCTGGTACAGGCACCCGCGAATTCTGGAGCAGCGTTTCACATGTTCCCGGAGTGAAATATAAGCAGTACTTAGACACCTGCATCGCTAAGCGATCCAAAGCGCTCTGGATGGTTTGTGGGTCGTCCTCCAGCAAGGCGATATCATCGGCATACTCCAACTCCTTGACTTAGTCTCCAGAGAAGAGCACAACATTGCAGTTCTAGACACCCTCCAGTGCTCTTTGAATGACATCTGAGATGGTAAACTTAAAGTGGAAAGAGGAAATAGAGCAACCTTGGCCAACACCACCGGTCACAACAATTAAAGAGGAAAGCGTGCCGTAAGCCCTGAATTGCCCAATGTGTGATTGTAAAGTTCTTTCAGGATGTTTACTAACTTCTTGGACACACCTTTCTTCAGAGAACAGTTCCACAACTCAGATTTATCTCTTGAATCAAATGCCGCTTGGACGTCTAAGAACA